CCTGCACAACAGCCTCCCCCCATGTGGCAAACTAGGTGGTTCTCGTCGATTCTCACGCTCCACCTCTCTCCCATGAAGCGTTGACGTTCTCTGGGCGCCAGCAAGCAAGTGTTGGCATACAGCTCGCGATGACACCAACAACCTGCATCGCAATTAGGCACTGGAGCTCACTCTAGCCCACTTGTTCTCTGTGAGCCATATCACCTTTCTGTCCTGCTGCCCAATTTGCTCCTACAACTTAAAATGTTTTGATGATTCAGGGGTACTGCCGAGATATCTTGTCTAGATAGGCATGGGCCAGACCTGCTGCCACTGCCCAAGATTCAACGCCATCACCACGTCACCAATACAGGTCGCTAGCACAGGTGCCATCCAGACATTGCTGTAGCTGAAATCAACGCCCCGCAAGTATTAGAAGGAGCTCTCAGTTTAGTGCGATTGAATCACGGAGCAACCCGCCTCCTCAATACATTTCTGGAAAGGCGTCCTGTGGAGTTTCGTATTCCATCGACGACTGGCGATTGGTACTGCGCTGTGGCGACGAATGGCGAATGGCGGCAGGTGCCAGTTGTGCTCGGCCAACACTTCAATGCTACATTTTGAGTTGATGGCAACTTGACGTCTTTTTGGCCACGCATTATTGATTTGCACTGTACTCCGCGGTATCCGATGCTCACCACCACTTTGCAAGTGTATATGCGGTTTCTATCCCAATCATAACTCCACGCCATACTTTAGTTGGCATCCACAAGCCAGGCAGGTAGGTATGCCTAGCCCCCCTTAACACCCGGTTGGACAGAGCGTCGTGTTCCAGAGCAGTCTGGCCCTGTTCAACGTGGTGTTGTCTGTCTTACAGAGGCTATGACTAACATGCAGTACTACCCTACAGATTTCGAGCGTTAAGCGCGGGTATCGGAAACACCATACGGTAGCTGGTACAATTTTTCGAACGACTCGGGTAAGCAGGATGGCATCTACATGAGGACTTCTTACTGAAAGGCTTCCCTGTCCATGAGATATCGCAAAAATCGACAGCGCTGTCATGATTGGGTAACAAGAGGGACCATGGAGAAGGTTCTGGAATAGAATCCGCCCCCAGATGGGTCTACCCACAGAGCCACAGGCGATATCCCAGATGCATTAAACCTTGACCGTTTAAGTCTCTGTATAACGATATCCGTCATGGGAATGATGAATCCACGGGGTTGGGTGAACGTTGCTGGCCCAGCCACCCTTCGGAGCTGGCCATGCTTACTTAACTGGAGTCGACAACACCCCTTTGGCGAAATGTAGCCTCTGTTGTATGAGCTTCAACAGCCCACCGGTAGGGAGATTACATCTCGTCGCTCATCACAATACCTCGCTATCTTCTCGGTGTTCTCAGCTGACATGAACTTCCTGCGTGTTCGGCCTCATTGTAATCTCCAAGTTCTTCAAGTACGTTGCTTGTATAAGTAAAATTGGAAAGAACGTGCATGAGAGGTAGGGTCAGCCCGTTCTGGAATGTCTCTTCATCTTGGTGGCATTCGTGCATCACTGTGTAAGGAATTTCACGTCACTCTTTTCCTTTCCAAATTCCTACCGGCACATACCGGCGCGATCCCAATGCAGTATATACGAGAGCTGGACTTCATTTTTAGTAGTTTGTCTTTATCATGCTTCGTATTATACTGAACTTCGTCCGAGGGGGCGACTAGTCATTTACTGACCTTGGCAATCTGCATCGCTTGGCAAGCAGCATACGCAAGTTGCGTGATATTCGCTTAAATACAAGCAAATCATGAGTTCCTTAATGTAATAGTTCATCCTAATGGATTAAGGAAAGCCCAAGATCCGCGTACACAACTCGGCGTGTTTGGGTTGAATGGGACCGAGTTAGCCTCGAGAGTTCTTTGGAGCTTCAATCCTTAACTCCGTCACAGTCTTCGATATGTAATGAGCGATCGCAGCTACAACACGCATCAATTTGTCATTTGTTCTCCTTCGAAAATACCCAACTAGCCGTCCTCCGGAATTTCTCCCACACCGCGGCGCGTCGAACTATTCAATATGGCCGCACACAGATTCATCGGCGTGGTTAATTACCGGCGCTTCGTCCGGCATTGGTAAAGCCATCGCGCTTGAGGCCCACGAGACGGGCTCCAAGATCATTGGAACAACCGGCGACGGTGTCAACATTGAAAGCTGAAAGTTCAATTCCAGAGTCTCGTCTAGGGGCGCCATCTGGAAATGGTTGGATCTGGTACAACCACACTCCCAAGACCGATTCGCAAAATGCTACCGAATGTACGTTGGTCAACACTGCCACGTTTGCCTTCAGTCGAGACAGTTAGGATACGGGGTAAGCCTTTGTCGATTCCCCTCCCACTGCGGGCTGCAGCTTTTTTTTTTACAAGCAGCATGGTGAAAATGAAGTCCGCGATCAAATGGAGGCGAACTTTCATGGTCCACTTCTTGTCTGCCGAATATGAGGCCAAATAGTCTAGAAGAGTGGTTCTTAAAAGTAGTGCCGCTGGGTGCGTCCACCTTAAGTCGTCGTCCATCCGGTTTATCAACATAAGGAAAGAAGGAATCGTCCTAATCATGATCCCAAACCTAGGTTCGTCGCTTGACCTGAACGAGGCTCATACTCAACGAGCAAATTCGCCATCGAAGCTGTTCATGAGTCTCTCTCACAAAAGGTCTCAAGGGTTTCGGCTTCAGACTACTTATCATGGAGCCAGGTGCATTTCGTACACCGTTCTCAGCGAGAATCATTACTCCAGTTTTGTACTTGTCTAACGGGGGGAAAATTGATGCATGCGCGGGAACCGTCGTCGACCAAGTGCTGTCCAGGGCCCGTGAGATCAACGTAATAGTGGATTGAGTCCACGAGTTGCCGGGTTCGGAGCGCACATTGTCGTCGCAGCCTACTTGGGCCGCCTCCTAGTTGTTAACCGTATTAACTGAGCGCTAGAATGATATCATGCAAACAATAAAAAATATCAATTGGCACGCCGTATGGCCCTAGAGGGTAGTGCGATGATGATGGAACGAAGCTACCCTTCGAGCTCACAGAAATAAGATCAAGAAGGATAACCAGCACCGTCAAAGCCAGCAGCAGTCATCGACTCACCCTCAGCTTCCTAATGCAGACAGACCACCAGACGGACCCTCAACTGTCTGACAAATCATAGACTACAAACTGTAGTTGATATTACCCGATTTCTGGGAGATATTAGCCAAGGTACAGCAAATTGAAACCTCGATCTAGACTTACTTTCCAGTACACTTAGTAACACAGAAACTGCGTATTTGGCCTTTGCCTATCATGGTCATTTCGCACCCCTCTTCGTTAGCCTTTGTACCCTTAAAAGTATAATGGGCAAAACCACAGCAGGTATCGCCTTCACTGATCCATTGTTTACACTGCAGGCATTCAAATCGGCACACGGTAGACCGTTGTATTGTAGCGTCAGGGTGGAGATGGATATGAGGGTAGAATCGGACGTGGTGTTAGTGATCTGCTTTCAAATCGGCTTATGGCCAGTCTTAGTAGGTAGGTTGGTCAAAGAGTACGTATCTAGAAACTCTCTAGATTAAGAAGAGGCAAAATAAGTAGAATGATGTACTAAGGTCGCAACCGGTCACAGTGGACGCCTCTCGGCCCAGGACGACGGGGTCTTGATATATCCATAGCGGAGAGAATCATCTAAAGAAGGCTTGAGCCTTGTGATGGGAGTGTGGAAGATACCCCTCTTACTACACCAAAAGTTGGTGATTCCTGGTGTAGAGACATGGCTTATGCCAGCTGCACTACCAAGAGTGGAGGCACCTCCTGTTAATGCACATCACTATCTATCTTTCTTATGTATCACAGAAGATGAGCCAATATTCCGGATGAAAAAGACGAAAACGAAGATCTGCATACAGCATATCACAAAGGAAGCCCAGCCAGCCACGAGTCAGAATGGCGCCATGTACGACATCACTTTCTGAGTGAATGCCGCGCAAATCTGGTCGCTTAATGTGTTTTCTCACCCAATAATGAATGAAAAAAGGAATCACGCTACAATGATAGCATCTGGCCATGGAGCAGCTGCGGAAGATCAGCATTGAAGTGACTGCCGGACGGAAATCTCACTATCCTACCAGTCTGGCGAAGACACCGGCTTGGAGCGACTACAGAGTGACCTTTCGTTCCGGCCCTCATGACACAGCATCAAGCGCCAGAGACGGGGATGGGGCCAGTTTGTCGTTGTGCATGCAAGTGGCGTACGTGGTTCAGGGCTCGCAGTCTCCGATTATGTGCTGCTGTTGAATGAGCGCAACTAGGTATAAGAATTCTTTTACGTACGGCAACATATTTACATCCATCGGTGGACCAGGTCATTCTAGCGGCTGCAGTATTAGTACATTTGAGCCAAACGCTGCCGAGAAATAACAGCCCGAAGCATCAAGTCCAATCAGCCCGCTCGTGTCTACTTGTATCCGCACACGGAGTTGTACAGCAGCTTGGATATTGAGTCCCTTCTGTGTGTCTCACGCAAAAAGAAGAAGGACTCATTGGTGCAATACAGGCAGAATGAGGGTAAGTGTTACGCAGGACCCTCGACACGAGAATATCGGGTACAAGATCTAGATTACGTGGAGTAAGATTGGCTACAGGTCCCAAGCACGACAGCGTAGAAAGTCGAGCTGCATGTGTAGGTAATACGGGCGGAAGCTAGCTATCTAAAGGAGCCCGATGCAAAGATCTATGGGGTGCAGCTTTGGAGCTGTGCCTACACTGTTTTAACAAAGCTCACAAGAATGATGCCAAATATTTAAAGGGAGTCACATCCTTAAATCATCACACAAAAAGTAGGACCATTACCCTTCTTGAACTACCTACCCTAGGCTGCCTAGGTGATTAATTTCTTTACTTATTACCAAAGTGCCAGGAGAGGTATAAGAAGCTAATTAAACTAAAAGACTCATCTACATTCTAGCTCTAACTTCAAATAGGGAAAAACACTACAATGGCGGACCATTTCAGAATCTGGACCGATCGCAAGAATAACTCTGTCGAAGGCCACACTCGCACTGGCATCCTCACCTTTGAGAATAAAGTTATTTGGGGGCCTGTGAATTGTCACGACAACACGGAACGTCTGCGAGTCGCTCTCCATGAGGCGGATCACCGCTTTGACATGATACTTACCCCGAAGCAGAACACAGTTGAAGGACACACACGCTTTATTAGCGTTAGGAATTCTGCTGGCAGAGTTACTCTGGACAGACTCTCTACTCACGACAACATGGATACCCTGGTTGCAGCTGTCAATGCCGCCCGAGCTATTGCTGGTCCGCCTGGATAACGAATCATGGCATGGGGGGAGAAAAGGCACGGTCTTGGACATGATGTACTGGCCTTGGCATGGGTTTTTGCCGTTGTACGTTTTTCCTGTGCCGTTATGCAAATGCAGAGGTCATGTGCTCTACTTTTGAAATACCTTGTCGAGATTAAGCCGCTCGCTAGTAAACACTGTCGACAGCATGCCTGGAAGCCCACTTGCGCCGCCGAGATGTACGTGCTCTTTGACATGTAGATAGACATGTCCATCCATGTCCATCCACGCTGTGCTAGTCAATGCGGTCTGACGTCTCTCAGGTGCTGTCTGGTCCAATGTTTTGTGATATCCAAAGAATCTCATAGTGGTGTACGCAAATTCGCGTAAAAGTAGTTGACCCAAGTTCCAAAATCAGCGGGCAGGCAATCTGGGTAGGGTGATAGATGGGGAGACGAAGAATGAGCAGGACAACTAAAGCCCCGAATAAAATAGAGCACATCAGCGTAGTTTCCATTATTGCTATGATAAACAGGAAGGGAATGAAAATGAAAATGTCGGAAGCCTGGCATTCTATATACGGGAAAGGCAGTGTTTAATCTCATCTACGATAGATGGATCATCGGTAGCCCTGGTCTGCCGAAATGCCGAGTAGCAGCGTTTTAGTAGTTTACAAAGTTTGGACTATAGTAGATCTGATAATAAAGCGTCTCTGTAGCTACTATAGTTAGACCTCACAAGTGTGAATGAGGAGTCACTAGATCAGATAACATGGATTCAGGGCTTGCGGAATAGGTATGGCCCACAACCGTTTTCGATCTCGGAGCTTGTGAGGACTTTTAAATTCTGATGAAATTCGGTCGAGATAGTAGTGTCGGGTTAATATAGCGCCGCTTGGCGCTGAATCATCCTCAAGGGCAGACCAGGTTAGTCACTTGACAACGTGGTGTATAGCTCTGATGATCTGGCTTCGAAAAGGAAACACAATAGTGTCAAAGTACGATTTGTAGTGAGTTGACACATTGGCTCGTAGCTATTATGACGGCTACATCTAATCATATTGTCACTTGTACTTGATATATGAGTGAGCCTGTCGTGAAACTGCGATAACTCGCAAGAAATTATGCAGCACATTTGTTCCCCTCCGGATGTGGATGGAGAAAGTCGACAAAGAGATAAAGTCGGTATTACACATTAAATATTTTCCCGCATAAAGCATACTTTTCTCGGAACATATCTTGGCAACCTATTTCAACGAACCCCAGATGTTGTTCAAACTCTCTGCCAGGGATGGATGAGCCCAGACGGCATCTCTAAGTGCTGTCCACTTGCTACCTGAAATCATGGCCATCTGCACTACGCTCATGACCTCGCCGCCCTCCAGCCCAAAGCACGTAAACCCCAATATCTTCTGCGTATCGGCATCGACGACGGCCTTCATCATCCCCCTTGATTCATCCGTCTCCAAAGCTCGTGCGACATATGCCATGGGCATAGTTGCGACCTGGATCTTGGCATTGGGAAACCTGGCTCGCGCCTCGTGTTCATGTAGGCCGACGTGAGCGAGCTGCGGGTCTGTATAGACGACGTAAGGCAAAATACGATCTACCGTAGTGAGAGCCGTAGGATGGGAGTCCTTCTCGAGCAAATTGGCCCGCAGCAGACGATAGTCGTCATAGGAAACGTGCGTGAAGGCCGGCGGCCCCTTGACATCACCAAGTGCCCACACACGCCGGTTGGAGCTTTGCAGGGTCTGGTCAACAACGATGTGACCACGAGTGTTGGTATTTATACCAGCTGCGTCGAGATTGAGAGTTTCCGTGTTGGGAATCCGGCCTGCAGCGAATAGAATATGGGATGCAGTGAATTCCGATGTGCCATCAGGGCCAGAGGTAGAGACAACAACAGCCTTGGTCGGGTCATTGTTGCCGGTGGCGCGAACGGCGGTCGGGGACGTTTTGAGAAGGATTCTGATGCCGTCCTGTTTGAGGACTTCAAGCATCTTCTCAGCTACCTCGGAATCTTCGCGCGGAAGCAGCTGGGAATTTCGCTGAATGATGGTCACCTCGGCACCTAGGCGCCGGAAGAGCTGGCCAAACTCAAGACCAACATAGCCACCTCCGACTACGATAAGATGCGATGGAATCACACCGAGTTCTTGAATAGAAGTGGAATTAAGAAGAGTACCCGGGGGGAATCCCGCAGCATCGAGGCCGACGAGCTTCGGGACCGCGGGCCGCTCGCCAGTGCAGATGAAGATTTTATCAGCAGCAAGAGTTTTATCTGCACCGTCCTGGCAGCTCACTTTGATAGTTGTTTCGTCCACAAATCTGGCAGAGCCCATGATGACGTCCACGCCAGCGTCGCGAAGCCTGCGTTCACTGCCAGAACGAAAACTATCAACGATGTCGCGCTTGCGCTGCCTCACCTTTTCCATGCTGACACGTACGGAATCAAGCTGCGGATTGAGAACGCCGTAGTCGGGTCCTCGCCTAGTCAAATAGGCTACTCGCCCAGAGGCAATCATGGTCTTGGTTGGTGTGCAGCCCTCATTCACACAGCAGCCGCCGATATGTGTGCTCTCGATCAGTGCTGTCTTCTGCCGGGCTTGTGCGAATGCGATGCTAAGAGGCGTTCCGCCTTGGCCGGAGCCAATGACTACGGCGTCATAGTGCGTAGACATGCCGAATCGTCGTGAGATGGTATAGTTGTATCCGTGACAGTGGACAAGAAGCCGTGATAATTTGGACGGCTGAAGGTACAATGATCGGCGCCCGGTTAGCATTAACAATTTGAATGATGGAATAGATAATACATTGAATCGAACTTGATGGCGAAGGAAAGGTTAAATGAGGATGCAAGCGGATTTATACGAGATAAATCTTGTGGCTGTGCGGGGAAGCTTGCTGGCGGCGCAACAGCATTGTTGAGTTTCACCTCTCCAGCTTGATATGGCCCATGGCCAAGAGATACTAGTAGTGATCTGAAATAATAACCCAGGGTATGAAGGTGAAGAATATTATGTCGTGACGGGTCCGGGCCGCTCATGTAACTTCATTCCTCCGGCACACTCGGCTCCGTGGAGTCCGCAGCGTCCACTGTTGCTCCGTCTGATCCATATTAAAGGCGCAGAGATGGAAAAACTATTGCAGTCAGAAAAAAAATTCGTGAAGACCAAGGCTTAAGAAAGTTACCTAAGTATCTCGACTGGCTGCGACGTCTTGATGGCGCTGCTGGTGGGCTCTCGAAGGGTGTTTGTATCAGTTGGAGAACAAACAAGCAACCGACGAGCTGCGGTTTGGGTATGGAAAGTTCGACGGGTGCGTCGTAGATGCGGTTGGTCTACGAAGAAGCGCGCGGTTACGCTTCGACGCATATCACAACAGGGTTATGCACCTGAAAATGGTCTTGCTGCCAGAATAATACCCCTATCAGTGATACAAATAGACACATCATTATTCACAACGTCTTGAAGAATGAAACTAGAAACCTCCAGCAGCTCCTCTACCAATTGCATCAGTAGCCTGTGTCGATATACGATCGTACACGCACATGAATGTCAAAATTACCATGCGCTCAAATTCCTCTCTCCAGTTCACATTCAGCTGAAGCACACCGCTTTTTGATAGTCCTTTCGTGGGCGTGAAAACTGCCAGCGCCTCATCTGACTCGTCATTAGACACGTCAACTAGCTTGTATCCTGGTCGACTCAGCCCGGGCGATATTCCATCAGTAGCAACATCGATAGTCCCCTCCCATGCAAACTCCTTCATGCCGCCAGTATCAGAGCTGGGAACTGTCCATGTGCCTTCTTTACGTCCTGTACGATGCATGAATCTCCATTCTTCCCCTTGGGCCTTGTTTTCGGTATTTCCGAGTTTAATCTCAAATGTTGCCGAGTCCATTGGCCTGCGAACGCTACCTACTACACTCTTGCCTTCAAACAAGAACATAAAGGGCATCTTGGAGTTTGTGCGTGGTTTGACGTCCATCGAGTAGTCAGTGCCGCCGCCAGTTGTTTCGGGGACCAAGGCGTACGTTTCTGAGAGAAGCCTTTTGCGTAGCTTGAAGCGCTTATGGCTGACTTCTCTGGACGTGTTCATGGTAAGACAAGCTTCTTTTAGGACTGGTTGACGACGATAATTTGCATGATGAAGCATTGAAGCCGTATTCCAGGAAGCTACCCAAAAGCAGCCTGTTTAGTTATCGAAAACGAATAACTCAATGACAGCCTACGTTTGTGATTACATGATGTGACGTCGCTGTGTTACAATGATGTCGGCGCTTCCCTGAGACAGCCTAGTCCTCCAAACAGTGGCAACCTTACAGAGACTGTGCATGGGTAGCTATTACTGCATCATTCATTAACATGCGACATTTTCTCGCGATTCTACGGGACGCTGTATGCCCGTTACTCATGCCACAGACGGGCGCCGCCGCCTCTAGTAAGAACAAAACGTTGTGCCGTTCCAGACTCCAGCGATGTCCCCGAATGCGTGTAGGTAAAAGAGTCTGGTCCGAGACATTGCAGCCTGCAAGGTCGATCTTTGACAGTAAATGCCGCTTAAGCCCGTAAGTTATCACAACTTACTTTCAGGCAAGTCCTGCGAAGAACGAGGGGATCGGGCTTCGGTTGCCATGAACCACCATTGCTATGATGGTTGCATCACAAAGCAGATACAACTACGGAGTACTGTATCACAAACCCAACGGGATGGTGAGGTGTTCTGGTCATTGACTGGCTGCAAGCCTTACACATGGCTGATCAGCTGCATTCGCTACGACAGGGCAAGGCCAATCGGCTATCCGTGCGACCGAACCTGTGAAGGACAAAGCTGACACCTGCATTACCATTTCGTGAAATGATACGTCCATGTCTGCGATCGTACAAGTACGCGTAGCGTTAGCGAAGCTGGGAACTCTGCCACCAAGACTAGCCCGGGAAACGAACTCGAACCTGCCACTTCGGCCGGTCAAGTGTCTTGAAGTAGGACCTGGGTTTAAGAATATAATGACATCTGGTGCCACATCTACCTAGGTACGTGATATGAACCTCGAACGAGCCGCTTCGCACTCGGCGCACACGTATGTCGAGACAAAACACATAGAAGCGTCGTGAGCATTCCCCGTTTACCCGACAGGTCGGCATACATTTAAACTCTTCACAGCTTTTATCCTACGTTTCAGCCCCTCAAAAATTATCATATCAACAAGCATGCCTATTAAGGCCTTTTGTGGTTCAATTTCTGCTTGATAAGGAACCACCCTTCACGCGTCCATGGGTCGCTGGTCGCATCTTGACCCCGATTACGAGCGCCTGCCGGAAGGCATCACCCGTGTCGGCTATGACGCCGATACCGAGTCCTACACCTTCCAAGACAGGTCCGGCTCATATTGGGAGAGCAGACCTGGCCGACGATATGGGCCCCTGAGGCGCGTTCACGCATCACCAAGTGTCCAGACGGTGCCTGTCGTTGATACGCCACATACCGCTCGAGTCGATAAGATGGTGAAAGATGCACGCGATAGTGATGAAGAAGAAGGAGATGGAGACGAAGAGTGTGAGCTTATTCAAGGGGCAGAAGCTGAGTCAAAGGACCAGGACGCCGAGAGGTGCTGTGAGCCGACGCGGCACAGGAAACATATTGGCAAGGTGACGGGTAGTCTCTCCAGACTCTCTGGGTACTTTCGAGGGACGCAGATTGAGCGTAGGACCACTCACAATCTACGGAGGAACACTTTTCCCATTTCCCAGGGGAACACCAGCATGCCGGCTCATTCGCAAGTGCTGGGTCGGGCTGTGACCTTTGACGAAATATTGGCACGGCGTGCAGATATGGACTACTGTACTCACTGCGGCAAGATGAAAGGCCACTGAGAAACCTGTCAGAACTTTGTGGTATTCCGATACTGCGGTCTGATCGAGTGACGAGCGAATATTCTAGCCTCGGATCGACGTGCCAGGCTCGCCATATCGTCTCCATTCCGAGATGTCAAGCTCACAAGCTCATACGCAACAACCAGTCTATAGTCCAGGCATAACATAGTTGTAGCTTGCATCCACCCCGGTCTCATCGAAATTGGAGCGTTTCACGAAGGAAAGTTTAGGCGATTCTCAAGACTTGTGATGAAGCACTCGATAATTCGAGTCGGCAGTCATTTCCTTCTTTAACCTTCTTCGTGTTGAATTGGATGGTCAAAATGAGCTGCTGTTATTTGGAAGAGTCGGTAATGGAACGTTGCATGCTCTTGTTACAAGAGCTACAACACCATTTGGCGACCGCCGTCAGGTGCAAGCAAAAACACTGCTCAGTCTTGAGTCTATAATCATTTTATGCTATGCTAATATTTTTCTATGGCCACATTAGTACGAGATAAATAATGCCAAGTCGATTGGCGACTCATATTGCAACAGTCAATGTCCGTCCGCCTACACCGTGATATCTGAGTCTATAATATCTATTCCACAGAGTGAAACGACTTTCCAGCATATTCCGAATACCTCCTCGCAGACTGCCGGTGGAGATACTTGGCCTTCCATATCATGAGCAAGAACGAACTAGAACATCCTAGCAACAAAATCCCAGCTACGATGAAACAGTCTTGAAGACCCATGTTAGTGTACCATGGAGTAATGCCATACGAGGTAGCAAAGCCCAGAGTATTGCGAATAACTATGACAGATGTTGTAGACTCTCCGCTGATATCCTTGAAGGAGTCAACGTTATATGAAAGGGCGATGGATCCGCCAGATACGCAACTGAAGGTCTCAGGAGGCAGCCCCATCCTATGAAAAGGAACATGACGCCTGTTCCTTGAACAAAGGCCGCCGTGGAAGTTCCTGTGTCCTCTGTGATATCTGACAGTACAGAGTACTGCAGACTCGTCTGCCTGCTCCAGGAGTATAGACAAGAACCATCGCCACCACCTTGTACTTTCGCAGACGGCTCCAATTAAGCGGAACTTCGGGATTGCCACTTGGTTTAGGGACAAGTTCCGTGATCCTGACTTCTCCTGCTGCAGCACCGCGAAGGTTAACAAGATGAATTGTGCTAGACACAGCCTTGGGATGCGGAGTAGCTGATGCTATTCCCGACAGGTAATGTTGGGTACATGCAGTAGAGTTAAACGGCAAGAAAGCAACTAAAGGAATTTTAGAATAGATTTGCATGGGCGTTAGGGATGAGCGAAGCATCGACAAGTCCACCACAAGTATTTCGTCGTGCTGATAAGCAACCAGTTGGTGCCGCTCGACAGTTTGGTAGCTGCTTGATCCGGGGAGAAAGAGTACACACACACACACACACACACACATTATATATATATGTGTGTGTGTGTGTATATATATTAAGTTGTTTTTGGGTTTTTTTTTTTTTTTTTTTTGGGACGGGGGGAAAGGCGGGATGAACCACGCTTTAGAGAAGCAGAAAAAAGTTAAGAAAGGAAATAAAACGAAAGGTTATAACCGAGCGGACGTAGCGTTGAGGAAAATTTGAAGGAAGTGGGAGGGGGAGTCGTTATTATGAAGTCGTAAATTTTTTTTTTGGTTTTTTTTTTTTTTTTTTTTTTCAATTTAAATGGTAGTACAAGCATCATACGTATATATATATACTATTTCTAAAGCTCCGAACATTGATTTATACAGAATACAGCGGTGCGCCCTCCGTTCGTGCGAACTACGGAATCCATACGTATCGTGTTCCGGGCATGTCGAGATATCTACCATAGCGGAACGGGAGGGAATTCAACCCAGTGACACGGACCTATTGTCACGGATTACAGTTGTCTTGGGGCTCCAATATTTTACCAATCAACAACAAGTGGCTGATCATGAAGTGCTAAAAAGCCTGAGAACCTGCAACTCATGACTCAAGCTTAGCCAGCAAGTAAAAGTTGGCAATAATTTGTTCTCTGCGTACTTGCGATACGATGAGTGTCCGTGTACACGCACACTGGGTGAAGCCTACAAGGATAGTCAATTGGGAGCTCTCTCTCAGGTATAGAATCGTATCGGCGCGGTTAAGCTGACTGGTTAATAGTTGAGCAGCATCATCCCGGCCCGCGCGGCTCATCATTCCAGGAAACCCGACGTTTGCATCACGGGAACTAGGGAACTAGGGAACTCGGGAGCGTGGGAAGTCCGCCCCTCCTTCTCATCAAGCTTGAATGGCTCTCTGGATATAAGACTGAGCAATGCTAAGTCAAGGTATTAGTTATGCCCAAGAGAAGCCTACGCGGGAACTAGTCGAAAGAGACCACGCTCTCACTCGCTATTTGTTTGTAACCACCATTGTGTCCTCAATCCCGAATGCCCTCTTAAGTTCTCCTGCTGGTTCAATGCGGTTGCAGATTGTGTGGGAATGCCGAATTCGGAACCAAAAGGGAGTTAATTCTTGCTACGTTCACAGATACTATTCCTCTAGACCTTCGCCCCCCATGAGAACCTATCAATAGCCCGCCGGTAAACGTGAGCAACGTTCCACGGGAATGTGGTCTCCTCACACCCAAGGATATTGCAATCACAGCAAAATACGATACCGTCGCACTAGCAGGGCAATTGCCTCTGAACAGTCTACGGCAACTGAGGTTATCAAGGCATTTGCCAAAAGGGCCATCATTGCTTACCAAGTCACATCACCCCCCACGGAATGGTTCATGGACGAGGCCTTGCAGCTGCCAGGGAGACGGAGGATCACTTCAAATGTGCCGGCAACACAGTTGGTCCCCTGCACGCTCCCATCAGCATCAAGGAACATGTGCCATTAGCTGGACATGAGTCCAGTGTTGGCTACTTGGACACTAGGACATACGATGTTTAGGATTGTCAAATGATGGCTATTCTGCGCGCAGCAGGAGCAGGGTTCTGCGGCAAAACGAACCAATCTCAAGCCATCATGCATCTTGAAGCCACTCTTCCATCTTTTACCCCAAACCCACACAGTATTGGGCTTTCAGCTGGCGGGTCAACTAGCGGTGAAACAGCTCTCATTGCCATGCGAGGATCAGTCCTGGGGGTTGGTACAGGTATCGGTGGGAGTATGCGCGGAGCCGGCTGGTTTCTGTGGACTATGGCTTCTAATCCACCTCGTATACTCTTCCGATGAAGGACTTTATCGCAGGTGAATCTTGGGTAGAACTGAATGTACTATGTTCAACCGGTCTAATGTGCACATCAGCAAGGGACATGGACCTTGTCATATCGGTTATTTCATTATCCACGCCGTACCTGCCGAGCCAAGACTTATCCCGATACCGTGGTCTGGACTGAACTCGACACCAACACCGAAGCCTACGGTAATGGAAAGACGGAGTGAAAACTCATTCGACTAGGTAAGTTTACTTCCCTGCTGGCGTGTGTGTGTGAAACCAGGTGTATTTTGTCTCTTTTCGGGGTGCCTCGATGATTTATCGAAGTCTCACATCCGTCTCAACTTGACTCCTAAACCATTCATCTTGCTCTAGCATGAACCACCCAAGACGGCTATATGACCCATTAGAGTTTTTCTTGAGGATGAGTCCATACTTTGGAGTAAGTTGTAAGCAATAAACGTGGCTTACACCCACTCTTTCTTCCTGGACATCAAAGTGTCCCAGGGCGGTTACATTATTTAGGAGCTCATCTGAGTCCAGTCTACCACCCGGAGCTCCAGTTCCCACTATCAACACGCTGTATTTTCCGGGTGTTAATGTTCTGACGGGCTTTTGTATCGACTTTCTGAGGCCAGTGTAGCGCAACCTGGGTGATTCTTCAAGTACTCGGGCCCCGACCACACGTCCCATGAATCGTAATTCACAGGCTGGCATGTGTAGCTTGTCCACTCCACACTCGGAATCCTCTGACCACTTATCTGGATGAAGAGATATGGGTCGAATCTTTAAATTCGACTGATCCTTATACAAGGCCACCTTGGGAGGAATAAACGACTCCTGTGATACTTCTCCTTCAACAGAAAGCCATGACCAAGATGGTGCGCGGATAATATTTTGACAAGGCCCTGTTAATGACGTAGGCTTTGGCCGCGTAGTTGGCTTCCAATTAGGTGTGACGTGGTATGTAGGCCGCCACATCAACCCTCGCACAATATCACATTCCCAGATGCCGGCCAGGTAGCGCGACTTGAGGACGGTGGCGGCTTGCTGTGCTATGGCAGCCAAAGAGGCGAAAGCATCGTGCGGATTAGAAAGCTGGCACTTGGTATACGGAAACAAAAGCCCATACCACTCTTTCAAGGCCTCATGCATTACGTGCTGCTCATTCTGAGACGGTGGTTTTATTGGTGCTAATCCCAGCAGCTTCGAACCGGCATTCCCAGTGGTCTTCAAGCCGTCCTCATACACTGATCCCGACCTGCAAGAGAACCTGAGTTGTTCTACGCCAAAAATAACGGCCCGTTGGCTGAGAAGCCTTTCTTGGAAACACCATGCCCTGGTCGAAGTCGGGCCGATCCCAGGGGATCTCTTCAGACCAACCATGATTGTCGATTTTTCTGACTCTTCTTTAGGTAATTCACAGAATATCCTATTTTGCTCTGAATTGTTCGCTATGAAGCCGTGTTTCGAGTCTGATGACCGCCCAGCTATAACGGTTAGCGCAGCGTTTCCGTAAACTACAGCCATGCGTTTCGATTCGCGCTCCCAGTCGGCCGTGTTGAACTGGATGATGCATAGAGCGTCTATCCAGACGTAATTGATACCGAGAGCGCGGGCAAGATGTATCATGTCCTCGTGCGACTTGGACAGCTTGGACTCGTTGATGCCCTGTACGAAGGAGGAGTACGTGGCGTCAGTCAGTTTTGGAGCATCAGCCGTGTTGGGACCCCAGCAGTACGACAGGGCGGCATATGGCTCAGAAATGCCACGTTCAGCAGTGGGAACGAGCCTTGGCTGTCTGTTGTTGGCGGGATCCCCAACATGGATTACTCTGGTGGGCATTTCGGATCCCCTTGTAAGTGAGCAGTGAGGGTGATGGGCGCGACATGTGGCCATCCATTGCTTTATGAGAGCGACATGGAGCTCGGGATTTTGATACGATGTGCTTCTTCGCCCCCTGATATTGTACTTGGACGGAGTGCCCGGTTCCCTGGGCAAGTCAGTGAGCTTGCCGGTTCATATATCGTCTTCGACTGTGGCACGTACTCGTACACCTCCAACACTGCTTCGATGGGCTCCGGATTCACCTCTGGCCAAAATTCTGACTTGGGGCCTCGCCTCCCGCAACTAACTGCAATGGTATCGCCAGAGGTGGGATGGCCGAATTGGTTCCCGTTCAGCCATATCGCTGGCGTCCATTCCGATCCTCCAGGGAACGGCGATTCGCCACGCAAAAGTCTATCCACGTATTTGGCTGCGTCCTTTTTGAATGCGCTCCAACAAACAAAGCAAAACTCGCATCCCCTGTCTGCACTGTCTTTCAAGGAGCGTAAATTAGGATGAAACGGCAAGTCATTTTCCCGCAGTTCTTTGGCAGTGAGTGTCCTGCAACGATGGCAATATGGCATGATGACTGACTTCAATCCGAATTCTCGTGAACATGGCGGCGGGGTAACGAAGCGGTTTAGGTGATTCCCGAGTGATTTCTTGTTGACCCGAGGGGGACCGATGGCTGCTTACCTGGGTCCTTATCACGTGTCATGAATGATATCTTACGCGAATAGGACATTTTATTGCCCCGGTTTGACCAGCTTCAGCCCTGTATAGACAGGATTCTCATGTAGCAGGGGTGGACTCCGTGATGGCATCGACTTCCCCGTCACTTTGCTGAAGACAGCGCTGCGTTGGTCATATCGCCACCAATATGATATGCGGAAACAATTGATAAGCTGCCGAAACGAACTATAAGGTCATTCGAATGATAAATACGAAATGAAACCGTGAAAACTAGCTTTCGTGTCCTTCCCGAGGGAGCTCGAATTCATCAAAAGCAACATGCGACAAGCCACCACTTGGGGACTGTATGAGAGAGGCTTCAAATCTCTGAAGCGCTGTATTCAACCAAGGGCCAGCTTGGTGCCAACATGACTTAAAGATAGCCACTTCCTTATATGACTGTCGACTTCTATACAGTACCAGCCCGTCGAGTATGATTTACTGGCAACATCAGCCACCGCCAGAGCCCAAAATGACCGGGCGTCACTATCGTAAATATGCCCTTTAAAGTTCATGTTAAGTTGTGGCCTGTCATTCATCAAGAAGACACATTTGCGAAGAGACGGCACCGGCAATCACCATCTGCACTATATACGCAGAAATTCCCATACTGTTTAATGCCTCTCAATTGATATCGTATCAACGCCGATTCAAGTCCTGAGGTTCGTCTTTTCTCGATTCCAGAACGCTCGCAACACAAAAAGCATAATCAACATGCATGCGTCAAGAGCAATAGTCCAATTATATCCAATCAAGTATCGCGGTGCATCAACTGTCTTCCACACGCTGTACGGAACAGTTAGCCAAAATCAACATCTCGTCCTGTTATCGAGGGAACAGACTTACAACAGCGGAAGCCACGCTCCAAAAGCGTTGCCGATCGTGTTCATGCTACTGATTACGATGGCGCGCTCTTCTGCATTCGAGGCGCAGATTTCGTTGGCCCAAGCATAGATGACGGCTGCGATGCCATCGGCGGTTCCCGACAGGAAGAATGCAAAGAACTTGAGGCCGGTGGGAACGTTCCAGATGGCCAGGATGATGCTTGCAAAGATATTCAAGCCAGCTGTCACTGCAATCAAGGATACTTTTGCATCGTAAGCGTCGGACAAGATGCCGCAGACGATTGAAGATGCTATCGTCACGGCTGGCGACACTGTTGTAATGGTGTTGATGGATTCCACGCTGTATCCTTCCTCCTTCAGCCACAGCGCAAGCCCGCTGTTGGAAGAGACACCGTCTGCTTGGGAGAAGAAAAAGGCAAAGGATACGAGGATCCAAAAGTGCCAGCCCACAAGCACCGACTTCACTACTGAAAATGTCAGTGGTTTACGGGGCTCGCGGTTCTCGGCAGCCATGCGCTCCTGAGCGACTTGGATTTCTCTTGGGGTGAGGAAACATGACTTGGGCTTGTCAGGTTGACCAGGCAGTGTGAGGAAGCCCAGAATGGCAACTGGAATCGTGCAAGAGAAGCCTACGACGGTTAGCGACCGGGTCTACCAGTCTCCGGGTCACGCTTCAGACTCACAGATGATGTAGAGCCATCTCCACCCCTCGATGCCATGCTTGAGGTTGAGAGATGAATACGCTCCGCTTTGGATGTATCCCGAACTCATGCTGCCAACCTGGCTGGCAATGAAAAACAGCGCCCCTCGACGGCTGAGTTCCGACCGTTTGTACCAGCATCCGAGATACCATTGCACCGCGGGAAAGAAGAGGCTGCCCGCGGCACCAATGAAGAAGCGGATCACGTAGAGCTGCTGAACACTGGTGACTTTGTACTGGGCCAGCGTCAGTACTCCCCAGATCAAGTCCGCCGCGGGGATGAAATAGCTGGCGGAGAAGCGCGTCATCTGTTGATAGAGGTAGTTAGTTGGAGCCTTTGCTGCCATGCGCTTGTCGGTCTTGGTCTGTACTAACGAGGAGGGTGAGAGGTATTTGCAACGTAATGAATCCGACCATGTACGTTGTGTTTAGGTAGTTGAGTTCGTTACCAAAGAGCTTCAAATCCTCCTTCATGCCGCTGACATAGGCAGCGCTGGTAGCTGACTGGTCAAGGACTTTCGCCCAGTACGCAAGAAACACAAATATCATGATCAATGCATCCAGCTTGAGAATCAGGCGCCTCTCTTCTGGCGTGTCGCTGGGCGAGAACCATTGATACCACTTCTGCCGCACCGGTAGACTGGCGACTTGTTGACTTTGCAAACTCACGTCATTCTTGCTAGTTGCGCCTTGGGCGTTGACGTGATGCAGCTTCAAGTCGCCGCCTTTCGCCGATGCTTGGCCCGCCTGTTGGTCTATTGAGTCTGACATTTCGAGGATTCAACTCGGATATAGGATGAGAATACTCGGTTGAAAGAAATCTGCGGCAAGTCGTACTTGAATCTCCAGGTTGAAGAGAAAGCTCAGGCGGGGTGCCGAGTTCGGCCATCACGCAATTGCTTCTGTAAGCCGTTGTGAAATTGGAACTCCACACGTAACCATTGCCGTGGGACCTTTTTCATTCTTCATGCCAATCAAGTATATCAATGAAGACGAAAAAAAAAAGCCAACATGGCTTTTACTCCATGTGGTTTGGTTTAGGGGATGCCGTTGATTTGGCGTTGGCCGTTCCTTGCCGGGGCTTACAGTATAGTCCCATCTAGATCCATTACACGAGGCCGCGTAATCAAATCGTACGAACACAGAAATTGACAGGTGTTGACGAGACGATTTTGGTGAGAACGGAGTCGTTGCTCCCACACAGGCGACATGGTTTGTTCCTAGCCAGGCCACGTACTCGGAACTTGCAATGTCCCGATTAGGCAATTCAAGGTGAGACGGGCAGCGGTTGGCATTTGGTAGCAGGAGGATGACAAGGAAAGCCAGGGTCGTGGCATTGTATTTTCCCCGTCACATTAATATGGGGATAGACGTCTTTGTCGCACGACACAACAAGCCCACAAGGTGAGCGCAATTCTACTCACTCTGCACAAGAAGATCCGTATCCAGTATATGGGGCGGCGATTTTTGAGACTCCATGTAACCATTCAACATCAGTCTCACTAGTTCATATCCTGAGCTACTTCTCTCGAGTATGTCGATTGCAGGGTAGGGAAATATGTCGCAAGAACTATGCACGGGGGACGCTCTCGGCCGAGACGGCTGGAAGGCATCTCCGCCCATAACCCTCATGTCACTGGAACAATGCGCTCTAACCCCCATCACCAAGATGTATGTGGGGTATCATTTTGAGATATATGGAGATTCAGCAACGTTATTTGCAGAGTAAATGACTCCTAGTAGTCAATGATGATGAAAAGCATCGCCTGCGGCATGCTTACAGGCCAATCCTCAGTGCTGTCTGCAATGTCTTATCAACATCTATGCGTGATAAGCCCGAGCGAGTTGGATCGCAATGTCCACTTTCTGCGTTAGGCTAGGGTTCATTATGAAACGCATTGCCCCAAATACAAATTGAAAAAAAAAAAAAACAAGACCTGCCCATTATCCAACGTTGAGTTGTTGAGTTGACTTTGACTCATGCCAGCATCGGCCCAGCCTTCATGTGTCTACTCGTTCTTTGAGCCAAGTGAAAGCAAGTCTCTCAAGTTGGACCAAAATGGAGTCCTCACAGTCGACTTGAACGGCGTGATGGTCGTCTTGTCCAAGTCCCAAACTCCCGTTTTGTTAAACGGATCCTCACGCAGCAGCTTCCAAACGTCTTCCAGAGTGTCCAAATTGAGAACCAAGATGCTTCCCACTATGTTCAGGGGATCGCCTGCTTTCTGAGGGTGGGCGCTTAGCATGGGCCCGGCGAAAATTAATTGCCCTTGCTCACGGACGGGCTTGTAGTAAGCGATATGGGTGGGCGTATTGGCGTATCGTGTTTGGAGAACACCAGGACGGTCCTGGATCATGATGAGCCATTCATTCTTGGTAGCAGACATGTTGTTGTTTATAGATGATGAAGGAAAAACTAATTGAGTCTGTTCGCAAGGAGGCAATGTTTCTCTTTTTGGAGCTCAGATGTGATGGGTTATTGAGCCGCAATATAGTTGTGTAATGCGACTCGGTCGGCAGTTTTGTATAAATAGGCGACTGGATTGTCTCTCACCATTTGATACTGTATGCTGGCTAGCTATGCAACATCGCGATAGAGAGAGACCCCGACAGGTCGAAAAAAAAAATACTCCGGCATTACTCTCAACAAACCCACTCGTTCTCCCTTGGTATGTATCTGTGTACTTTTCCTTTGAGCCGTAACGCCGCCACACGGACAAGATTATCAATCAATCCGCAACCTCAAACTTGGGAAAAACAACATCATGTTGTTCGTCTGCCTTGTCTTAATACCAGAATGTCATAAAAGTACAGGGTAAAGCCTGGTCGAATGGCCTCGAGCGCTCGGAATTTCCTGACAACCGCCCAGATTGATGTTTGCCAATGAGCAAGCCATACACAACTCAAGTGCTACGTAGAATGGGTCCGAGTTACGGAGTAAGCGATGGCATAGTACCCCTGTGACAGCCAAGAGCGGCTTGCATAAAGCGGCAAACATTCAGTTTCGCCGAGGCCCGAATAACAAAATATGGGCAGGGGCAGGGCAGAGCCACTGAATGCCCAGTTACGCCAATATAAACAACGTTTCTCCGTATGGATATTAACTTATCAATTGATTGAGACGTCTACCTGCTCTCGTCATCCACTGTCACTGTATCACGGCTATCTAATCATGTCTCTGCTCGTCTCACTGGTCCGGGTCGCAGCACCGTTGTCACCCCTTGACAAAGATCCTGAATCCAACCTTTGAGACTCGTACTGTCAAGTACGTCAAGCCAGCAGCTATGGAAAGCAATCCACAGTATAGCCACAAGGCGTGCCAGTTGAGCCAGTCGGAGGAGTGCAAGACTCTCCCTGCAGCTGGTGCTCCAGCAAGGTATCCCAGCCCGGCCAAACTGTAGCCCATGCCTATGCGAGTCCCAATGTTCCTCTTGTCCTGCGTCAGGCTGGCAAAGCACACTGGAGGCATGGCAATGAAGACGCCACTGAAGAACCCCAGCCAAATAGCAATCACGATGGCGCCCGCCAGGGAGTGAACCGCCATAGTGCACAAAGACAAGAGTCCCGTAATGAGGGAACACGGGAAAATAACGTTGAGTGGGCCAAAATGGTCCGACGCGAAATTCGGAATAATGCGGCCCAAGAATGATGCTGCGTTGAGAATGGCGACCATGTAGAACGACATGTCGTGAGACGCGAGCTTGCTGCTTTCCGCGAAGAAGGATATGTAAGAGTTGATGGTAGATAGACTCGCCGAGGCAAAAAAGGTGCCGACCACGAAGATCAAGTATGGCATGTCGGTAAACGCAGACCGATCAACGAAACCCCGACGTTTTGACGAAGGGGCGCGGATTCTCATGCCAACCATGGGCACTACCAGAATCCCCAGAGCAATGAAGCCCAGAACGCGCACCATCCAGCTGAAGCCGAGTTGCTCCAGCAGCTTCGACGCGACGACGGAGTAAACGACGGCGCCGATGGCAGACCCCGAGGACGCGATGCCGATTGCCAGGCCCAACTTGGACGTGAAATAGCCGGGCAGAATCGACACGGCGCAGACAAACAGGCAGCCCGCGCCGATGCCGATGCAAAATCCCTCGGCGAGCAAGACCTGGGCGTACGTCTTGCAAAAGCTGAGTGCTACATGGCCGAGAACGACTCCAAAGCTTCCCAGCAAAATGAGCAGGCGAAGATATCCCCGATCGTAGACGGGGCCAGCCCAGAATCCCGTCATCATGGCCAAGCAGTACTGTATGGCTCCAATCCAGGAAATGTTCGACGATGAAGCGGTGAAAATGTCCCCAGACTCGTAATGCGTCTGGAAAACGCCAAACGTGCTGAGAATTCCCCAGGAGTTGAAGAAGAGAGCGAAACTGCAGGCAACATGAAACCATGCTACCAGGCCTTCGTCTGGAGGCGGCCCCCTATTTTCTTGGGGTTTCTCGGCCGCATCTGTCGGGATTTCCTGTACAATATTGCTGTCTTCTGATACAGGTCGGGCATCAGTATCGAGTAGCGAGGACGGTTCCGGGCTGGGAACCTCTGACTTGGTGATTGTTGGCGTCTGCATGGTGTCGGCCGAGGTGATTGAGCATCAAAACGCAACCCCAACAAGAAGAAGTAGAAGATGAGCGGGCCCATGTTGCCGATTCCTTTCATATGTGCTCATTACATAATGGTAACGAAAGCAGGTTGCGTCCCGCGTTTAGTACTGGTTTCCATAGTTCGGTGTCTCTGGGCCAGCCGAGACGGATTGATTAGATTGATAGAGACCAAACTCATCTCGCGCTCATGGCAAAGGCCGAGACACCGACGTCTCATCCAACCAGCCCTGGTATGCAGAGGGCATGTCCCACAAGGCTGCGGGAGGAGTTGCATCGGATGGGGTTGTCAGGTAACCCTGCCGAAATTAATCTCAAGTTCCAGAGGCTTGCTCCGATGTGCCCACTCCATGTCCTTGAGCAGGACAGACAAGTCCTCGGAGCCTCTCATTCTCCGAGGCTGTCCAGCCATGTAGTCTCCTTGATTCAGCCAAATCGTGCCGTGTCTGCAAGTAAGGTACTCACAATGGCCAATACTGAATCAAGAATTCGTAAAGAACATGTCTTTTGGTTCGGGTAAGACGGCTGCCAAGGCGGAAACGTATGCACATGTATTGATGATGGAACATGATAGTGCAGTTGGAAGTGGTATAGTTCCCATTCAGTCTCTACTGTAAAGACAAAGCGAGTACACATGTAGACAGCTATGCTATGAAGCTTGAATAACAAGAAGTTTCTAGTCGATACAATCTAGTCATCTAACTGAAAATACAAACGGGCCGAGAAAGCAGCAGTGAATACCCCCCGTCCAACTATCATCTCAAAAACCCAACTTTCTGCCAATTGCTCACGTAGGATCCCAGCAGTGCTTCAGTGACAGGACCCAAACTTCTCAAAGTAACGGAATGCTCGCAGGCTTTGTCAGTACCCAGGACCATGGCACCACACGACATGTGCACGAAATCGTGCTCAAAGAAGTCGGCCAACATGGAGGCCGGGTTTTCTTCATCAGGCCCGTTGCTTTTCTTGGCATTGATTCGCACCACATTAATCCAGTCCGCAAATGGGATAATCTTGTCGTCCGGGATATTGAGAGTCCTTCCCAACATGGTAATCATCTCGGACCAGGATTGTCTCTTGGGGTTGTCAATGTGATACACAGGGTGAGCTTGCACATTGTCCGGTAGGGTCAAGATGTCCACTGCAGTTCCAGCTACCGCATCAACTGGAGCCCAAGCGAGATGGCCAGGGAGGTTAGGAAGAACCCCCAGCGTCTGTGAAGACTTGATGAGGAAAGGCACATGCTCCATGGAATTCCAGTATCCTGAGCTGCTAGAGCCAGCGATTTGCCCTGGCCGGACAACTGTAACGCGGAAGCGCTCTGGGAACAAGTGTAGCGTTTGATCCAACAGTTTCTCGCAGGTGTGTTTGGCGTCGCCGTATCCAATGGGTAGAACAGAGTCAATAGTCATGCGCTCCTCGGGAACCGTCGCCTCTCCTGACCATACAGGCCAGTGACCGACGGCGGCTACCGAAGAGACAAGTTGAAACGAGACCTTTTCCGTCGACTTGTTGCGCAGTGAAATATCCCGAGCCAGGTGAATCATGTTTTTCATGATGCGGAGCTGTGGTTCGAATCGTTTGAGCGGCCACTTGGTATTCATCAGCCAGGCATTGTGAATGATATGACTGACCGACGTGGTCAAGCTGTGGTAATCAGTCTCAGAAAGACCCAGAAACTGCTTTGATAAGTCCGTCTCGTATACCCTCAACTTCTCCAGGGCTTCCCCGGGCAGGTTGAGACCCTTGTCAAGCATGCTTTGCTTTTGGCGCAGCATAGCATCCACCTTGCTTCTCCTATTCAGACAAACAACTTCCCTTACATCCAAACGCGAAGCCAAGTTGGCAACAATATGCGCACCTAGACTTCCCGTTCCACCAGTGATGAGAACACGCTTTCCATCCCCTCGCCTCATCCTTCCACCTTCTCCTCCACTCAGCGCAGCCCCAACATCAAGGGACTCGATGAAGCCCTTGGAGAGGTCCTCCACATACTCTCTAACGGCTGCTCCTCGAAACTCGCAGTCAGCTGAAGGGCTCTTGGTACATGGCGGAGGAGTTGGTAGTGATGCGCACCTATTACTTCTGGAGGCTGAGGCGATGATGAGCCTCTCGAGCTTGTTCTCGGGTCGGGCGCCATCAGTCCAGTCGACAACCCCATAACCAACTGATTGCAGGTCTCTCTCCCACTGTCTCTCATCTTGCACGACATACTCCCGGCCGTCGTCAAACAGCCACCAGCCCTCGAAGAGCCCAAAGACAAGGTCCATCCACCACACGCGACCCGTCATTTCAACCAAGAGGAGCATGCCGTCCTCTCGCAGTGCCTTGCGAATGTTTCCTGTCGACGTCTTCAGATTGGGCGTGGCATGGACCGCGTTGCTTGCAATGATCAGATGCTGCGTGCCAATTAAGTCTTCCGGAGGAGGGTTGCTAATGTCGTGTTGGCGGAACTTCATAAATGGATAGTCCTTGAAGGTTTTGCGTGCCGCCGCCACGAACGAAGGAGCCAAGTCTGTGAAAGTATACTCGACCGGCAGGTTGACTTCAGCAAGGATCGGCAAGAGAAGCTTCGTGGTGCCTCCTGTTCCTGCTCCCATCTCCAGGATCTTGAGAGGGCCGCCACTCACGGCTTTCAGTTCCTCCGCGAGACGACGCACAAAGTCTTGGAGTTGTCGGTAAAGCAGCTTGTGCAGGGGCCACTCGGCGTAGAATCGGGAAACCAAATCACGACCTTCGGTGCAGCCGAAGATGAGCTTGATGCCGTTGGTCTTCTCTCGCAAGACATCGGCCAAGCGGGAGCCCGCATAGTATGTAAGCTTGTCAGCTACATGCTGATCAGGGAACCGGGATAGGAGGCTTTCGAAAATCTCCTGGCTGGATTGAACGGGGCATGGTGTACCTGTTCGAGTGATTCGGTCTCCATCCACCGTAACAAGCTTGCCTTCTTTCTCCAGCATGGCGTACAAGGCATCTACTAACCGTGAATGCTCGGCCGGGTGTGGCACGCGGGTGATGGAAGAACCAGCAGGAGCATTCCTGACACTGTATCCCAAGTCATCCAGTGCATCAAGTGTCAACGATATACAAAGCTCGGTCTGCATAGGTTCAGCGACTGTGGCGTAATTCTCCTGGCCATGCTCCACGATACGGTCATCAGTCTTCTCCTTTACCGCGGTAAATGTCTGCATAACCAGTTCATGTGACAGCTTCAGGTCGAATGGAACTTCTGGTTCAGACAGAGCTGGAGTGCTGACTCCAGTCTGAAATCCAGAGCACTCAGAGTTGCTTCGGTCACCGAACTCGCTTGTGCTGCTGGAAGCAATTTGTTCATTGCCTCCCTCATCCCCGGCATCTTGCTCCACGGATTCTCCTAGGAGCTCCGCGACCACCTTGAGCAAGCCCGGGAAGTCGGTAATTTCCATCAGTGTAGCCTCGGGGATATTGATCTTGAAAGCAGAGTCCACCTCATGAGCCAGCTCCATACCCAACAACGAGTCGATGCCGAGATCTGCCAGAGCACTGTCGGCTTGGATCTCGCCTTCTTCAACGCCTGAAAGTTCCGATATAATTTTCCTGAGCTGCGAAGCAATTCCTGAACTTGCAGATTTTTTGGCTGCTTTGGGGGAGGTAACCGGCTCTTGAGTCTTGATCACTGATGCAGGTCCATCCACTTGGCGAGCATTGTCAATGTTTGTCGCCGGAATAGGACCCGACGTTGCGGGAGATTGCTCCTTTCTAGCTGTCGCAGACAAAAGACCCGGCGTTAATCTTGAGAGTACTTTGCTCATAGACGCCCTTGAAACCTTGACGTAGCTTATTCCAGTAATGACTTCGACCAGGTCATTAGTCTTTGCATCAAATGCGAAAATGTCTGATAGGATTGCTTTCTCCGACGGGTAGTGGTGTACAGCGAGCACATTAAGAGCCGCAGGACGTCCGGGCTTGTCCTTGTTACCAGACTGACTTGGGTTGCGGAACCAGTGTTCCATGCCATTACAAACATACATATCAGCTGAGCTGCAGTCTGTCATACAGTTTGCCCATATACCTGCGACCTGGCATAAGCAGTCGGCCAGATGGGCATCCAACCATGTTGTTGCGTCGTGTTGTCGAACGACGTGTGCAGCAGACTGATTACCACGACTAACAAGCTTTTGCACGCCGCGATAATCGTCTGTGTAGTTGACAATCTCGGCAAATATCTTGTAAATACTTCTGTTGAGAAGCACTTCCTCGACATCTCCGCTGTTTAACAATTCAAGACACTGTCGGCTGCCGACCAGACGCTGAAGTCGAGAAAACTCCAACTCGGCTGATGAATCGTCGGTTGGGACGAATCTAAGTGTACCGGTTGTGTGAACCGACAAGCCCTTGTCGGTCTTTGACGATGCCTCGGTGCTGACAATGCTGAACTTCCAGAGTGAACGACCATCGCCTGCAGTCTCCTTGAAGTCAATCCACAGAGTACGGCTGGCATCCACGCACACAGGCAATTGGCATTGGACGTTGTGAAGCTGTGGCTGCAATTGTTCGGATGCCAGCTCTTGATTCAAGCTGCGAATAGCCTCGATGACAAAGTCAAGCTGTACGGTGGCCGGACAAATGGCTGCTGTCTCTGCAAAAACATGGCCTGAAACTAGTCTCTCATATTGCTTCGACGAGGTATTGATACGGAATCGCCCTGCTTGTTTCTTGTTGTCCGTGTAGCCAGCAAACTGGAAGAGGCTGCTCTCATTTTCGTCAGGCTTGTTGCTCTGAGGAACTTCCAAGATGGCCTTCTGGGGGGCTTTCAGCTCCATCCAGTGTTTTGCTTGCTCAAACTGATAGGGCGGTAGGAGAAGAGGCTCGTGAGAGAGAACAGCAGAGCCGTGATGGGACCAGAAACCAATATCAAGGCCCTCCTTCCAGAGGCTCAAAGTGCAGTCAACCAGGTTGTTCCACGCTGTACCTGGCTCACCAGTAATGTTTACGCCCTGGAAATGTAAATCGCCACTGTTCCCCAGAGCACGGGCCGCCATATTCGTGACTGTAGAGTTTGATCCGGCTTCCAAGAACACACAGGATGGATGTCTGCTGGTTATCCTCTTCAACGCCCGATCGAAGAATACAGGAGAGCGGAGATGCTTGGCGAAGAAGCTCGAAGTCACTTCTTCCAATGGCTGCTCAGTCGCATGTTCCAGCGGAATTGTAGGCTTCTGGAACGCAAGGCCGAGTCCACACTCGTTCAGCTGAGCGTCAATGTTATCGACAAGACTGCAGTGGAATGAGTTTGTCACGTTCAGCCTCTTCGACCTGATTGTCTTTGGGGGCTCAGACTCCAGGACCTTAGCAACTGCATCAATGGACTCGACTGATCCAGCTAATGTGAAGCTTCTAGGTCCGTTATAACAGGCAATCGACGCCGGGTCTGAGTTGCTCGATCCAAGAGACATGGCAGCCTTTTGAAGCACGTCTTGGACCTTCTCCAGATCAGCCTCGATTGCCATCATGGCGCCCTTCTCAGCACCCCAGAAGTCTCGTACCAGGGTAGCTCTCTTTATCACAGCCTTGAGACAGTCCTCCATAGTCAGAATACCAGACACGCACAATGCTGTCAGCTCGCCAAAGCTGTGTCCCACCAGTGCAACAGGTTTAACCCCAGAATCGATCCAGCACTTGGCGCTTGCATACTGAATGGCGAAGAGTATTGTCTGTAGCTTCACTGTGTCCTTTACTGGTTCGCGGTGGAAGATGTCGGGGAATATGGTTCCTGCACCTAGTCTCTTTGCAGCAGTATCTACTGCATCCAAATGCTGGCGCAGAATCTTGACTCTGTCATATAGTTCCTTGTCCAATCCAACAAAGGTAGATATCTGACCGCCGAAGCAGAGCACCACTGGTCGTTCTGGCTTTGAAGCGCTCGTAGAGAAGCCACCTTTATTATCGGCAATGGAGCTCAAAGCATGTGATAATTCAACGAGCGACTTGGCACTAAATATTGAGTTTCGCGCAAGTGTCCAGTTGGTCTTGCGGGCCAGATTGAAGGAGACGTCCCTCAAAGTCAGCTCGGGATCACGAGATGATCCTTTGCGATTGCTAATGTACTTCAATAGTGCTGTTGCATAACGTCGTACACTAGAATCATCTAATCCGCACAGCCAAAACGGATACTTCTTGTCGCTCGACTCGTGCTGCGCTGGCCTGGGAAGCTTTGAAGGGCCTTGAGTCAACACCATGGAAGCATTGGAGCCGGAAGCACCGTAGTTGTTAATGAGTGCAGCCTTAAACTCGGCGTTCCAAGGCCTGAGGGAAGTGGGAATGACGATTTTGTCAGAGGGCTGGGCTTTGATGTTTGGGTTGATGGTCTCAAAGCTTGCTTGCGGTGGTATGTAACCCTTGTTCATCATCAGAAGTACCTTGATCAACGACAAAACTCCAGACACTGGCTCCGTATGTCCAATGAATCCCTTGACAGATCCCAGAACTAGAGAACTACTCCTGTTGGTGCCTCCGAGAACCTGTCGAACGCTCTCATATTCCGCTGGATCACCGACAGCTGTCCCAGTACCATGCGCTTCCACCACAGTGATTGCTTCGGGTTCAAGATTTGCCTTGGTAGATACATTTCTGAATAAATCAGACAAGGAGGGTGAATTTGGGACGAAGATGGGTGTACAGTTTCGGTTCTGTTGCACGCCCGTTGCTGCAATGACTCCAAGAACTTGATCTCCGTCAGCAATAGCAACAGAAAGCTTCTTCAGGAAGATTGCTCCGATGCCGTCCCCTCGGCAATAGCCATCCGCCTTTGAGTCAAATGGCTTGCATTGTCCTGTGGTGCTCAAAAATGAAGCGCCAGCCAAATTTTGGAACCGATACGGACTCGTCATGACATGCGTGCCTCCAGCCAGAGCAGCACTACACTCTCCGCTCAGAATAGCTCGGCACGCCTGATGGATAGCAACAGCAGATGATGAACATGCCGTATCAACGACAAATGCCGGTCCTGTCCAGCCGAAATAGTGACTGATCTTTCCGGCCGCGAAGCCTTCCAAGTTGCCAGTGGCACAAAAGGCGTTGGCCGGATAACAGGCAATGTTGTTCTCGTAGTCGGTTCCACAAAGACCAATGTAGCAACCCACTTCTCGTGAGCTATCGTCTTGTTCTTTATGGAAGTATCCAGACTGTTCAACGGCCTGGTATGCCACTTGAAGGAGTTGTCGTTGTTGCGGATCTGTCGTCGCGGCTTCGCGGGGGCTGGTCTTGAAGAACTTATTGTCGAACTCATCATGTCCGCGAATAAAGTTTCCAAACCACTTTCTCTTTGCGTCCATGTCTCTGAAAGCAGTCTCAAAGGTGAACCTGTCCGATGGAACTTCTTTGTGCTGCGATTTACCGGAAGAGAGCACTTCCCAGAACTCTTCTAGATCATCCGCCCCGGCGACTTTGCATGACATTCCCACAACAGCAATGTCGGTGTCAGGATATACGCCTCCAGACCTGTCCTGGCGGATGCTTTTGACCGGCGCGTTCCTAGACTCAGACACATGAATGCAGCGCGCGCTTAGTGATGGTGATAGGGAAGGCGGCAGTGGTCGCTCCGGTCCAAAAGCTACTACAGTTGCTTTCTCATCTTGTGAGAGCACCTCTGATTCCAAGGTCTTCACAGTCTTGTACCAATTAGGCGGCTCCAAGATTATTGATCTTAGAACATGGTGATGAAGTGGTCCGGATGTAAAATATTGACCTCCAGTATTGGATCGCGATTTCATCGCGAGGTCAGAACAGTCGCGGAACTGGAATTCGGGGCGGTCGTCGCAGAGTTGAAGAAGGGCGTTCAGTGCTTCCGCATGCTCTTTGGAATGATATCGACCACGCAAACCTATCTCCGAAGCTGGCAATCCTGCTGATCTCATGTTTTGCTGCACTTGAGCCATCGCCGCCAACGACGTAGTAACCGTGGCGCGGTTGTAGTCGTAGTTGACAGAGATGTATGTCTAGTATTGTCAGCATTTGCCTCTTTTCAGATGGAAATTACCTGCTCCAACCGTATGAAGATGGGAGCACTTACATCATCTCGGCTGTCTATGATCTTGCAGAGGTCGCTCAGTTTGGAGTCGGAATTCCATTCTGTGCCGAGGCACCTGGTGGGCTGTGGCGACAGAGCTGATGCTTTGGCATCCATATCAGCAATTGCGCCAACTGCAACGGCCAGCCGAATTGCAGATGCACCATATCTCTCGAAATCTGAGCGAGACTTGGAACTGGACACGGCCGCCGCGCTGAGCAGCCCCGTGCAAAATCCCAGCGTTTCGCCGTTCGCGGTAGCCCGTGATATCCAGTCAGCTTCGCCGTCCTGGGAAGTGTACGCTTTTTTGTTGAAGCCGATATACTGAGTAAGTTGGTCGATGGTTGCCAGTGGAACTAGAAGTTTATTTGGTAATGGGTACGAGGTAGTCAGCGCAACGCCAGAGTTGAAAGCATTCTTGAGGTCAACGAGCTGCATGTAGCCTTGGACGACCCGTTCTCCGGGAACACCGAGAGCCGCAGAGATTGATTGCCATACTTCCGGTAGCTCTGATACAACCTTCGGAATCCATGAAACACTATCATCACCGCGAACAGTGTTTTGGATCCGATGAAACTCCGAATGATCGAATGACAACGGCAAAGATCCAAAAAGGAATACATTTAAAGCCCCATTTGGACTGGCTAATCTCGGATCGGAATGCATTTGAAGTAGCAATCGGAGTCTGAAGGACTAGAAAGACTAGGCAGGTGGAGATCTTTGACAGTTGAAGTTCAGTTGTTCAAGCACATGTATCTCTGTTAGTCGCCTCAATGTTGAAGAGAGAAGGACCTAAAAGTTGAAGTATGTTTATGTGGTGTGAGAAAACATGGAATATAACACAATGCGAACGGCTGTTCATATATGGTTCGTCTATCTGATGGGGAATGCCTTACTTCATCTTAGAAAGGGAGGCTTGAGTAGCCGATCTAACTCCATAAACTTCCTGTGATTCCAGACGGCGAATAGTAACCTCCTGCTGACTGGGAAGAAACTACTGACCCGAGACCAGGCAAAGAAAGAAATGCCAGGGTTGTCAGACGGGCATGGAGTTGGAATGGATGATTCGCATTCGGTGGAACGATTATGTCCATGAGCAGAGAGTCTGATACCAAGGTCAACGAATTTGCCTCCTATCGCGACAAGAAATGTGTCAACGGGCCAATGTAGCCAAGAAGTCCCACCGAGGCTGACTGGGGAGCCATGCGGCCCGAAACTGCATATTGGAGAAACTCCGAGGCATAAGGGATCAAAATGATGCGTCACCCTGTTCCCTGGCCAATAGAATACTCAGAGATCATGAGAGATTTACCGTTAGGATCTAAACAACCATTTTTTTTGTTTCGATACTCGGCCCCTTCACTTACTCCGATGGGCCCTGCAATACACTCGGTTGTTTAGGAAGAGAGCCCCAGGAAGGGTGTGAGATCGATACAGATACCCCGATCAAATAATCAGATTAGATTCGGGATCTTGGCAATCATCCTCTCGGACTAACCAATTCTGAACACTATTTGGCAATCATGGCACCACCAGCCAAGCTGACGTTTGGATTACTCAAAATAAAGGCTCGTAAAGGCCATGTAAGTGTGATACTAACTCACTTGCATACTGACCCTGATCCACCAATCTTTACTTCCTGGATATTCGTCGGTCACCAGGATGTCGCAGTCAGCAGCAGAAGATAGCCCGCTTGAGGTTGCCATTGTAGGGTGTGGCATCGTGGGCCTCATCACTGCTGCAGGTCTTGCAAGGCGTCGAATCAAGGTCAGGATTTTCGAGCAGGGACAAGGCTTACGGGAACTGGGAACAGGAATCGCGTTCAATCCCGCTGCTCAAGGATGTCTAGAGATGATTGACCCGGAAGTGACGATGGCCTTGAGGATGGGTGGTGCTGTAGGCCTTTCCGCTGCCAACGAGGACGATCCTCACGACTGCCTCCGATGGATTGATGGCTACAATCAAAGAGACAAAAGTGATCCCTACTATCAGAAATATTACTTGAAAACGAATGCGGGATATCGAGGAATCCAAGGCATTCGTAGAGACCATCTTCTTGAACAACTAATCCGAGTCTTGCCATCCGACACTGTGGTTTTCAAGAAGCGCCTAGAAGATGTCGTCGAACGCGGAGGCAATGAAAAAATTGTGCTCAAGTTCGCAGATGGCACGGTGGCTGAAGCTGACGCTGGTGAGTAAACAGCTTTTCTTGCAGGGGAATTCTTGACGCAGCATATGTTGTCCGTGAAAGTGTCTAACTTCGAGTACAGTCATTGGGTGCGATGGAATCAAATCCAAGACGAGGAATATAGTTCTAGGCCCCGACAGTACCGCTGGCAAGCCGACTTATACTCATGTCAACTCATATCCTACCGTTATCCCAATGGAGAAAGCCGTATCAGCACTGGGAGAGCGCAAGGCAAGGGCTTTTCACAATCACTTGGGCCCTGATGCAAACATCCTTCACTACCCCGTGGCACATGGCACTTTGTGTAATGTCACCGTCTTTGTTCGAAACGACGAGGAATGGCCAGAGGATAAACCGACGGCGCTTATCGGCCAGCGTGCTGATATTGAACATCGCTTCAGGGATTGGAACCCGGCAATTCGAGATCTCATCAGCCTCCTGCCGGAGACGCTCCCTACATGGGCAGTCTTCGACTTGTGGGACTACCCTCTTCCGTTCTACAACAAAGGGCGGATATGTGTTGCTGGAGACGCAGCGCATGCTAGCAGCCCGCATCATGGTGCTGGTGCTGGCATGGGGGTAGAGGATGCACTTGTCCTTTCAGTTCTGATGGCTGATGCCTCGATGAAACTCCGAAAGGGACAATTGTCAAAAAGCCAGGTCATTTCCTCCGCGTTTGCCGTGTACAACGACACCAGGAGAACTCGCAGCCAGTGGCTTGTGCAGAGCAGTCGCCGAATCTGTGATTTGCACCAGCAGAAAGAATGGGCAGACCCAACAAAGTGGCTCAAGGCGGAATCGACACTGGAGGAACTCAAAGACCGAACTTATAAGATATGGAATTATGACTTCCGTCAAATGGTTTCCGAGGCTGCTGAGAGCTACGGCATGCGTATCAGTCGACTTGAACAACAATCTTCTGCCACAAATGGCGAAGTCAGGCCAAGTTCTCTCGCCAATGGCAATGTCCTGGAACCAATCGCCAAGACAAAAACGCTGGTTAATGGCATCGGCGACTCGAAAACGCCCTCGATCGAGAAACACACCGAGCTATTGGCTGGACCTAACCAAGGCTACACCACAAATGTGATGGTCTCTTAAGCAGTCAGGGAAACACGCTGGTTATACCATGGCACAAAAGCATGACTTGTGAAGTTGACCGATGAATGGTGGAACGGAGTTGACGGGCTTTTTGGATGGCGTTTGTACTGAGTTTGTAGCTGTAGTTTTGTTCAATAAATCGCGATTAATATGCGTTGTAAGGCGCCGTTCAGTTAGTATTGTACTCCATACTTGTGTTCTGGAGACAGCTACGAGTCCAGTATTAGCCATCTATATCTTTAGATTAGCTGGAGTATGCGACATTTACTTCTTCAGGAAAAGGCCCAAGTTTGACACAAACCGCTCATACTACCTCAATGCCAGGACTGAAATCCACCACTGCGAACAATTAAAATCTGCTATATATTAAGTGGCTCGTCCACTTAGTCGCTGACGGGTAGCTCAAGGTTACGTTGCTGGTCGAAATTGTGTGCCGAAGCATTCAGGCCACGTATGTAATAAACATCACCCCTGCAATTTAGTGGGCTCGTTGTAATCTCACTAAATACGATATCCGCCCTTTGTGGAGGTCATATATCGTGAACGACAGGAGCAAGCTCAAGGCGTGCCACATCTCACACAATGATTATATCACGGAAACAACTAATTCGCATGACAGAGGGTAGCAACAAGGAACAACGACATGGCGGATAAGGAGAGTGGTATAAACATTCCCTCCTCGTTCAAATTTCCCTGTGAATCACATTTTTATGGGGAATATCGTCCCGTGGAGCAAATATTGTCACCCTAAATTAACCGAGTGTAACTCTACTCCGCAGGTAGGAGATATCCCTAAGACTAATCTTAATCGTAGCTAATTCTCACTCCAGCGATGAAACATGAATTTTAGATTCATCTCGACTTTCCTTCCTTTCAAGTGGAAAGAAGTGAAGACATCTCGATCAGAAGCAATCCGTAGGGACGTTTCGGGAAGGAAATGAATGTGTAATTGTGCCCGGCCTCTGTATACTTGCAGGTATCAGAGACGATTCTTGCCACCAAGGATGCATGTCGGGGATCCTGACACGTCACAAAGCGGCAGCTTGGCATAAAACCTTCACCCACAACAGGCCCACAAGGATACCTTGGCTACGGCATCTCACAGCCTGCTTTATAACAGTGACTTGGATTGCCATTACCCGTAACAGAAGCAGGCTGTATATCCATTATCGTCGGCCCCGAAAGGGTATTTCGCAACTTTCCGGGCCTGCCGGTCGTATGGTCGTACAATCCAACCCCTGTAAGTTTAGCCATGAGTGACCTGACAAGGAAGTTAGTAGGGGTTATTTACAGGGACACTCTGTTAACAAGAGCCGGGCTCTTTTTATTTATACGAGTGGCTGTGAACTATAATATAGGTTAAATGATAGGGGAGTAGTGGCTCTTGTAATAGTGATCAATATCTTATTGGCTTTAACCCCCCTTGCTATGTCACACCCTGGCTAAACATTCAGGGTCTGAATTGTACACCCTAGGGTTCCCAAATGAGGATAAGCATGATATGGCTAACTGGGGTTGACTGCGGATGTTCAACTCCATTTGGAGATCTACTAACCTATACATACACTCATCTAAAAATGAGTTTTGACCTATCGCCACAGGACTCAAGAGCTCGTGGAAATCAGCTGCGTCGAGAGACATGTCAAAAGTGGTGAAGAGGCTGGCCGAGTGTCATCGTACAGACATGGGAAGAGTATTTCAAAGTCCTATGATGATTCAAGAGTTCTGCCTCAGCAACACATTACGGTAGCATGGTATGATCACAACGCTCTTCTCCATGTGGGCCCCTGTGGAAAACATGTCGCATAGCAAAATAAACTGTAGGTCTTGTAGGTTTCCACTCCCGTTTCATAGCATGAATAGGCGTCGGAAGAAGAATGTTTGGCTCGAATTTCTCAGTACGCAAGAGATTCAATATGAACCGTCCATTTAGCTTTGCTGTTTGAGCACTAGACATCTACATCCTCATGTGTAACCTCAGACGTAGCTGTTGACAAGAGAGGACAAGATTTGGCTGTTTGCTATTCTTCGCTGAATAGGAATTTCCCTTGTATCCGCACTATTTGAGCATCTCGCCGGTCTTTCCGAGAGTCTCAATAAGTCTTTGGCGGATGTGTTCGCCAATCACAACCTCAGTGCCCGAGCCATCCAACGCCTTCGCAACCAGCTTCAGATTGCCATTTAGGAAGAAGGCAACACTATATCGATGATTTCGATGGTTGGTGACGACCCTGTGGCGTGCACTGCGGTAATAGCCACCAGTCAACTTCATCATCATGTCGCTCATGTTGATGACGTAGGCGCCCTCCGTAGGGGGAACCGGAATCCAGGTCTCAGTTGGAGGATACCATACTTCGAGCCCCTTGCTAACTGCCTCCTGCAGAAGAATAGTAATGCAGCCAAAGTCGGTGTGGTCAGCAACTGGGTTGGAGCAGCATTGTCAGTACCAAGTCGTTTGTATACGAGAAAAGGTGGTCGAAATCCTTACCTCCAAATTGCGTATCATGAAGAACCTCCTGCGGCGCGTAGTGAAGCATTCTCATGGGAATGGAAGGATTTTCCGCAAGCTTCTCAAGCACGTTTGGCGGGTGACCCCATTCTTTGGGCAAACCCCGGCCGAGGATTTTCAAAAGAATCTTGGCTAGATTGACCATCTTAGCCTGATACTCCATGACTGGCGTGCGGAATTGATCCTCGGGCAACTTGGACGGCCACAGGTTGGGCCCAGTAGAAAAGGAACCAGCATCGGGGTGATCAGGTGGAATTTCGGCTCCAACCATGAACGTCTAGATAATGGGCGGATATGAAGATTAGCTTGGGACAAATAGATAGACTGATAATCACATTGGGATGATCAAGGAAACCGCCCAAGCTTTGAAATGGCTCCCAATTGACTTACTTCCTTGATATCTGGCATCAAGCCTTTATGGTGAGTTTGAATCAGAGGTGGCTCATAGCCGCGAAGAGATTTGCCCATGGACTTGGAGACACAGACTTCCATCCTGTCTTCTTCTGGGAGAGCAAAGAAGCGTCTGGCGCAATCTAGAATCTCCCTTTGCTCGTCAACAGTGACCCCATGGCCAACTGCCTGGAAGAATCCATAAGTTGTACAGGCATGGCGAACGTTGTCGACAACGGCCTGCTTCTGTGCTTCAGTCGATGTGGGCGAAATAAAATCGCTGATGTCAATGGTTGGAATAGCATCGGGAGTCTTGCTGCCCATTTTGATATGCTCAATATTGTCTGTCTTTTAAGTATAGATGAGAGATGGTTTCCAAATATTTGCGCGACGGCTTACTGTCCGAGATAGGAGCTGTATTCTGGGTTGCCTATTACTGCGAAAATGAGGCAATAGTTGATGTTGCGTGATATAGGAGGCAGGAGGTGCCAAGTTATTATCTTCAAGTCTACTGTAGATGACTCATGGCAGAATTTGTCTCCCTCAAAAGTATTCAACACCGGATACTTCATTTATAAACTTCCTACATCGTCCGTTTACTGCCAGAGAAAAGCATTTTCTTCGACGGACTTAGCAACCAACTCCGACCTGACCAGCAATTCCAACCAATGTATCGCGAGTGTCACGAAGAAGATACTCCGCACATAAGAGCGAAAGCGCGAGGCTGCATCAGACAAGTGGTATCTGCCCATATCGGGAATGCATAGGAACTCGAAAGCGTATACTCCATCTCGGAATATCCACTGGCCGCTAGCTTTCTCCGACTGAGATTGACGCGAAGCGCGAGCAGTCTCCCGCGACACCGGGTGGCGGATTCAACTGCCCGTCGTGGCCAATGAGACGGCACCTACGTCACAGTGAGTCTCGGTCATTTTGCTGTATCACGCGTGCAGGGCCCGAGATGAGGTCTCCGTTTGCTGGGTCTTGTTAGGTCTGAGCTGTGAGACAACTTGTGAGGAAGCCGTTGCTCACGTACCACGACACTACAGTTACACTGCACGCTGGGCTAACGATGTTGGTCAAGATGCACATGCTTGCATCTTTCAAGACTAACAAGATTCCGTACGAAGCTAGTTAGGGTTACATTAAATGCAGTTTCTAGCACGGTCAGATGGCCAAAGCGGTTCATGTCAAAACTACAGAAGAAGTCATAAAGAATCGTGGTCGTATATATTTTTCGTGACCATCCTCAGTTGAGTAGGCTCTTTTACCCAGAAGATTTTTAAAAAACAAAAACAATTTTCAAATGTACAAGATTCAAGCGCGCTTTGTTGTCCGCATTATCCAACTCCGCTCCCAAGTCGTAAAGTCCCTCGCAGAAGCCACCTATTGGCTCATTGCAGTCCCTGATGTCTGGTTATCCATTGTGTTTAGCAATGGGAAGATGTGAGTCAAATCCAGAAGCATAACGTAATTTTGCTTCGGGTTAATGACACTCTTTAGCTGGCTGAGGGCATCCAACAGTTGCCGCAACAGCGAAGCAGCCCGGGGTAGCTGTCGATTGGCAAACAAAAACTCTACACAAAGGAATATTGGAATTGGCATGAGAGGATGAACCTATATTTTGCCTTCATCAGTGGTTGTCTCTCATGAGTTATCGAGGATGGAGCAGTTACCTTGAAGACGCTGAATTCCACAAGCGCATATGCAAGCTTGACTATATGTTCGGCAGCATTCAACGCTCGCTGTTGATACTCTGCACGAAGCGATCTGGCTTTCCCGTTTGGCCATACCATAGATTTGACTTCCTTACACAGGTATATAACTGATGCCTGAGCGATCACATGCGCAAAAAGAAGCATGGGGTCATATCCTGTCGTGGGAGAAGGGTAACACTTGGACAAAATCTGGAGCCTTGCTGACAGAATATTATCGAACCAAGTGTCCCAGTCTGACCAGTCTGCTTCACCGTCACCATGCAAGCAGCGTATGTTGTATTGCTGATTGTGCGACAATGTCCGTCCACAGATAGTTGCCAGGACGATGCACTCATTAAATGGAGAGCGTGTGGTTGGATTTTGATCTACTATCGCGTCTGACAAGAAATCCATTACAGTGCTTTGGCCGTTTTGAAAGTCTGATTCCTGGGCAGGCAATCGTGTGCAGATCTGGGAATAAGAAAGGTAAGTTTGTCACTCCCATCAGGCACCCATTACGAAGCTTGCGGAAATTGAGAGACTCACCACGTGCTCATTCAATCTGATGGGCGAATTATTCTTCATGCTAAACAAATGATCAATAAAGTACGCCATCCAAAACACTCTTCGCTTTTCTTCCGTTGTCACAGAATCATGATCGGCAGCAGAAGATGGGCTTGTTGGGCTGTCAATCTCATGCAGCTTCATCAGTTGCACCAGGCGGAAAGCGCGTCCAGCGCTCATCCAGGCGTGCTGATGGTGCGTCCTCATTGACTCATAGGTAGCAATCAACACCCAAGCCTGTGCCAACTCGATTTCTAGAGTGCTGCCTTGGACGCTGTTGGTTGGGTTTGACGACTCTAGCATCTGCCTGGCTTCTTGGTAGAAGCCCTCTTGCAGGTGCTGGAATTGACCAGATAGTAGCGATGCCAATGTCCACATGGCATATTGCAAGGATAATCTGGCGATCGACTTTGTGTGAAGTTTGGCCCAGGAGTGATACCGCCGTTGGTGCAGGATTGGTATCGAAGGATGGACACGATCAAAGTACAGCTGGTTGCTACAATCGACCCCCTGCTGTCAGTGGCCGGTATCTCCAACAGACGAGATGTAGACTTACAGCTCCGCTTGTGTAAAGTCACAAAGAGGAATACTGCTGGTGTTCAGACACGTGGTGGATGGTGTAGGCGGCGGCTCGGGTATCAGGTTCAGGTTGTGCAGAGTCCCGAGATCTAGAAGAGGACTTGTCAAGGTCATCTCCGACTCAGAAACCGCGGGGTCCATCATGGAGAACATGTCTTGAACAGCGTCTACGTTGCCCCCTTGGATCGAGTTCGGTATGGGAGCCAATGGCGATGCCAAAACATCACCGGAGCTGATGCCAGCCTCATTCGTACCCAGATTCTGCGACTGGGCAGCGAATCTGCTTTCAAGCATAGCTGTAAAGTATTATTATTGTCATATCCTATGAGTGCATAAACATGGCGGCTACAAGGGCCTAGACAACAAGACGTACAAACTCGATTTCGTAGATTCTTTAGATATCCTCTCTTGGGGCCTCGAGGTGCTCGAACGGGGTTCACCTCGCATACCACACCCGTCTCTTTACAAACGCCGCACTGCGGTTGCTGTCCATCGCAACGCAGTTTGCGCCGTCTGCACTCTTCGCAAGCTGGCTTCTGACGACTGCGCCCCGATGTCAAGGACTCGGGCGCAGTCGACTGCTCGACTTCTTCTGGTGTCTGCATGTTCCAAGAATTGCGCAGCAGGTCGTGTCGCTTCTGGCAGTCGATGTAACTGCTAAACAACACGCAAACGGCCGGGGATCCGGGGTGGTATTATTCTGATGACAGCTAACCGAACCAATCTGTCAGGGTTCGACGTAGTGTTGCTTTTTAATATGTTGATAATCTGCACGACACCGTGGCCATCCATCCAACCCCTTGTATTATAGAAACTGGCATATCGGGTAAGACGTGACTACAGGGCGGAGATTGTTTACTGTTACAGCTTCCAATACGACTCTACCCCGTTACAATAAGCATAAACATTACATTTAATTACCTGCAGACACAACGGCTGTAGAGTGTGCTGGTGGGACTTGAGTCTTTTTGGAAAGTGACGCAAATATCCCACTCCCTTTTGATTCGACCTGGATACGCGGGCACAGCCAGAGCCCATCTCCTATTACCGGCTAGTGAGGACTAGGTCCTGGAAGTGGCAAATAGACAAGCATGGCACAGGGCTAGAGACAGGCGTTCTGGTATACCATCCCTAATGCTACCAGACCTGTTATGGGCAGTGAGCTACCCCGTTAATAAACTGCTCCCGTGCTTTATCAGTCCATTCCACTCTGTTCCACTCAGCTCCCCTGGGGGGAGCAGGATTGCGGAGTCCATGTCCATGCCAAACATGTTCTTGATAGATGAACAGATCCACAGCCGAACCCTCGTCTGCGCAGCCGCCAAAGCGAGTAGCCAAGGACACCAGGATGAAGCAAGATTTCGGCACCGAACAATGCCCACTAGTCCTTCGGAGCTTCACATGTGGGTAGAGGGAGCCCTGAACAGTTTCTCTCTGTTGGCGTGAGGGGATGAAGTGCAGATTTTACGAGACTACGTCAGACACCGTGTCGACTACCGACGGTGTCTTTTCAAACGCCGAGTCGAGACCCGAAGTGGAAACTCGTCAGCATGATTGACAAAATGCCCGCCTATACGGAATACGGTAGCACTGCATCTCGTTGTCAGAATCGAAGCGGGTTCATCCGATCTCCTCCCCGCATGTCCCGGAGCCCATGCGAAAGTAGTTATTTTGTCGTAGCTGCTGACAATCTTTGCTACGAGTTCGATGCTTATTCTTCGGGGACTACAAGAGCCAACTTGGGGCAAAACCCAGTGTGGCAAACGCCCTCCTGGCCTCATTCTGCGACGCCAGCTTGCCAACGCTAGACGCCTCGCCGTCTATCTCGTTCGCCCCTGACAGCTTCGTGGTTGAGCGCTTGCTCTGCACGCCCTGCTTCGTTACGAAGCTGCAGGGATATCAAAACTTTCCGCTACATATGTCTTCGTACGCGGAGCTAGTCGAATACGGAAGGCTAATAAGAGCATCCGCAGCTTGCAACCCCCAAACCCGACTTCTTTTATGTCCGGGCCAGAAGATGTGGACTTGCGTGGCGCCTCTTACCCACCGGATCCTTGCAGGCCAAGCATGCGGCGTGCCTTTGACGGATGGCGCAAATCTTATCAATCAGTTTGAAATTTGATCAGCGCTCCCCACCGTGGACTCGGGCGGTTAGGACTTCTTCCCACCGTTCCACACTCAGTTTTCGGTGGGATATTTGGGCCGCAACTAACAAGCACAGCTTAGGGCGGGATTGCAACCTTGGGCTCATCTAGATGTAGTCGTGTGCAGGTAGGATTCGTCTGATGATGAGACAACCATGTCGGGAGCCAACACACAGCCAACGCCACGAATAACCGACCAGGACTTGTTCGCAAATGGCTCATCCAACCCGCGGGGAGGGGATGAAGTTAAGCTGCGCCCGGGTCATTTTCTCGGCACGGGCCTAGTGGGAGCAAGGTTTCCTGGTACATCGGTGCCGAACTCGAGTCTAGCTTATCCGTTAAGGCACCCTGAACTTCAAGCGAACTGACCAGATATAACTCAGTATTTTATCTAACCCCAACCCTAGCAAGTTGGAGGCTTTGTATCGCCCCGCAGCAACGGTCTATGGACATGTGAGTTGACGCCGGGACACAATGATCAAGTCAGCCACTCCTCGCGCCTCGGCATCGACGATCACTCAAACGCGTTAGCACGAGCCTCGAGGGCTGGGTGGGCTTACGGTGATGCTTCCGCCGACCCCTGTACCCCGATGGGCCGCCAGCAGGCAAGGCTCGGAAGACGAGGCGCGGAGATGGCGCGATGGCTAGATCACTTGAACTTGAAGCCTTCGTGATATCTACGGAAGACAGTCTAATACGAGGACGCAAAAGATGAAAATTTCCAGTCATTGTGCCCTGTTAAGCGAGAACACGGTCACACGACCACACGACCGCATCGAGTTTCCAGACGAGGCCCGATATTGACTTGGGCGGCAAAGGCGGCTGTGATGGCTGCCAGCTGTTCGTAGTTGATTTGAGCTCCTTCTCATGTTCAAGAAATATTAAACAGCTGAAACTTTAGAACACGCATGTCGAAGTTCTTATCGCAAAAAGCCTCACCAGACGTTGGGTGCTTCGGAGGCTGCTACTACAGCACTGCCATAATGGAAGTCATCATTGTCCTTTTATTTAGGGTAGCCCGCCGTTATATGACTCCTCTGCTACGGAGTAGTTGATCACACAATCCCCAAGATAGCAAGTCGGCACTGCCATCAAACTTGATCAAAGCAGGCAAAACATGGAGAATAGTCCAACCACCGTACCGGCCGACCGCCGGAACTAGTACTCCGAGGTCCCCGTCCCACACCACTTCGAAAAGTTGGCCCAAGTGCAAGGGTATACCTAGTTGCCAAGCTCCTTCCACTCGCTAGTTTGACGTGGCTCGGAGAAACTAATCGGGCCCATCCTGTTAAGGTTGTATTTTCGGTTAAAATTCAACGGTCGCACCCTGACCAGCCACTTCGGGTTACACTTCCGGGCCAAACGCAGGTATGTGGTCTCGAGTGACTAAGACTGATTAAGCATTACATATGCAGGCCTGGCAGTGTCGGTGAAACGGAGCCGGGACAAACATTATCGGCCGTTTGCTCGGTTCCAAGTACTGACTGTTTACCCTCTGAATCATATCGCGCGCCTGTGCGTGCCACGATAGTGCCGCCGTTGTAGTTTTCTGATACGGGATTATCATTCGGCGACAAATTATGCAGAGCCGGTTTGCAATTGAATGGCTCGGATTTACTCGGTTTCGTTGCCTTGGATCTTTTCAAGTTGCTTACGAAGATGGCTCGATACTGTTCCTTTGCGAATGGCAATCGGCTGATGCGGAAGACCCGTCAATGATATACAGCTATCAGTTGAATTCTAAAGTAGGATCACGTCTACGTCGAAATACCCTGGTTAAACGTTGGTCGTGAGCATTTTCACTGTGTAGACACAGATGCGTGAGAGTACATCACCAGCCAACAGTCCCACGTCCAAACTGCATAGTCCTGAGCCATACATTGCAAAAAGAAAATGTCTAAATTCCTCAACGAAGTACCCTTTGGGATTGTCCTCAAAGTTCTATTCTGCTTACTACTTGTGGGATTCATACTGCAAAGATGGTACGTATACTGGCGGCTGCGACACATCCCTGGCCCCGTGTCAGCCAACATCTCCGATTTCGCGCGGGTAAGATGGGTTCACACCAAGACGGCCCATCTAAAACATCAAGAATTACACGAGAAATACGGCGATGTTGTGCGCATGGGGCCAAACATGGTCTCCATTGGCAACCCCAGCGCTGTTCCTCAACTGTACCCCATGCGGCGAGGATTTCCCAAGGTAAGAAGATGGTCAAATATGCGACGCGGACAAGAAAAGACTGGGAACTTCTAACAGCATTCCGCAACAGAGCGACTTCTATATACCACTCCGACCATATTCGAGAGTGGGTGGCGCTTTGCCTGCCATCTTCACGTCACTGGATGAAGAAATGCACTCGAATCTCAAGAAGCCAGTCGCTCAAATTTTCTCGCTGTCCAATGTAGTTACCTTTGAAAGTCTGGTGGATGACGTGCTCAAAGTTGTCGCCAAACAATTTGATGGACGATTTTCCACAAACGACGAGATATTCGATCTAAGCGAATGGTTGCAGTTCTTCGCATTCGACGTCATGGGCACCTTGACCTTTAACAAGCGCTACGGGTTTCTGGAAGAGGGAAAAGACGTCGGAGGCAAGTTGAATGCAGTTTGGCTCTTTATGAAACAGGCTGCCCCGGTATGGCCCTCTGACGGTTACTACGGTCCTTATATCTCGCAATGGCGACTAATGGTGCATCCAGATGATGCAAGTTCCGTGGCTAGACAAGATACTGTACAAAAACCGCGTTGTTGATGTATTACGGCACACGCCAGGAAATTCTTTGTTGAAATTTGTCGGGGACACAATTCGAGAACGTCAAAGCCGTTACAAAGCCGAAAAACACGCTGAGACTCCGCATGAGAGGCAGGACTTCCTTGACCGATATATCGAGATTCAAAGGAGCAATGACAATATCCCGGCTTGGTAAGACCATAAAGCGCATGCCCTATTTGATGTATCTGGACAATGAAAGGAGAATTCATTAACATTTTACTGTTTAAACAGGGCCGTGACGTCGTGGACGTTTTCCAACGTCATTGCAGGTTCAGACTCGGTTGGCACGGTTATGCAAACTGTCATGTATAATTTACTAAAAAGTCCACACACACTTAGAAAATTGGTCCGAGAACTCGAAGACGCAGGCGTGTCCCGACCATATCCTAAATGGACCGAAGTAAGCACACTGCCATACTTGGACGCCTGTGTTCTCGAGGCACTTCGTGTACACCCTCCATTTGCCTTGCCCTTCGAGCGTGTCGTTCCCGAAGGCGGCATCACAATGCTGGGCCACTTCCTTCCCGCAGGAACCATTGTCGGGGCCAGTCCGTACGTCACCAATCGATGTAAAAAGATGTATGGAGAGGATGCAGAATTCTGGCGGCCAGAGAGGTGGTTGGAGGGCGATGCAGAGCACAAGAAGAAGATGGAAAACGTCATGCTTACAGTGAGTCAAAACACC